ACTGGAGACCTGCCCAGATGTCCCTGATGGACTGGAGACCTGTCCAGATGTCCCTGATGGACTGGAGACCTGTCCAGGGTGAACCCCACCTCTCACACAGTGACTGACAAATATAAGTACCAGCTAGCAGAGACCTGGGAAGGAAAAGTGGTTAAAGATGATCAATAACATGATCAGATAATTATTGGAAGAGTGCACCATAACAACATCATAAGAACTTTTGCAGCTCGAGTGGAAAAGAATGATTTATTATATTTGTTCTGATAAGATCTGTTGAAAACAATCTTCACTCCTGACCGCCAAATCTAATGATTTTTGAATCAGCGTTATATATTTCCCACAAAACCAGTTTTCTCACATGCTTTGCTGTTCAGCTGCTCAAACAAGTCGTCTAAGGGATATTTCACTCTGTCTAGTGTTCCCAGTAGAAGCACGTCTAATGTTTAAGGAGCACATGTACTGGTTTAAAGTTTTCTATGTAATCCCACTGTTCACCTTACTTTTTATTGCTGGCACAGACTCTTGCGGAGTCTTTTACAAACTTTATTTCAAGCAGTATTTTAACACTTTTAACCTCCTTTTACGTAAAGGAATATCCATTATCTATGTTATTTTGAATAAAACACGATTCAGTCATAGTTAGAGTCCACAGTTTTTATTTTACACCTTGTTTTTCATAAATATCTGAGATTTTTCTTCATTAAAACCTTTACAATGTTGTTTAAAGATGTCCCTCAAACAAACTGTGATACGTGTCACACAAGCATCAATAAGACACGGTTCAGACCCACTTCCCACCAACATAAAGTGTTTTTACACTATTAAAACTCTTTTTAGTCACTCCTGTCTCACACTGAACCCTGGTGTCCTGAAAAGCCATTGCAACATTTCACCCAGAGGTTTTTCTTTTCCCATCAGGTCATTTTTTGACAATTATTAACATCAATGTGCATTTATAAATTATGTTCTTAATTAAGCGACAAAGGGAGAGTTATACATTAAAAGCATAAGTTTTCTAAACATAATAATATTTTAGGTGAGAAAAGAAAATGTTTTTTGATGAACGGACGTTACCATATTAACTTCTATCATTTTATTTTTACTTATTTTAGTTCTGTTGTTTCTGTAATCTGACTTTACACCAGAGCAGAATATAATCTCCAGCAGAAGCGCTTGCTGTTTATGTCTGCATTTGTTCTTCACTCATACAAACTGTTTGTTCTCAGAGCATTGAATGAAAGACACGTTCAGTTTTTGTAGATTCTGATCAAAAGCCTCTGAAGCTTTGCTGTGACGGAGACCTTTAGTGTTATTTTATCCAAATCTGATCTAATGCCTGAAGTTTTTGTCTTTACTTCAAAGCTGTACTGCTTAACCACTAATGATTAAATGAATAAACCCCATCTGTTTCACAGTTCTTGTCTCTTTTTGAGTCTATCACACTGCAGTTAAAGGGAAAAGTTGCAATTCATTATTCAGTTCAATTCACTTTATTTATATATCACCAAGTCACAACAGAAGTCGTCTCAGGGCACTAAAACATTCATATATAAAATAGTAATTGAACATTATTTATGTGAGGAGCAGCTTTGAATTTAACTCCATCACAGAACTCTCATCTTGAACAAGCATGAAGGCGACAGTGGAAAGAAAAACTCCTTCATGAGGAAGAAACCTTTAGCAGAACCAGGATCAGGACAAGAGGACCATCTGCTTCGACCGGCTGGGTTTGAGAGGAACAGATACACAATGGGGGCAGCACGGTGGCACAACTGGTAGAGCTGCTGCCTCTCAGCGAGCAGGTCCTTGGTTCAAACCCCAGTCCAGGGGCCTTCTGGGTGGAGTTTGCATGTTCTCTCCGTGCATGCGGGTACTCCGGTTTCCTCCCACAGCACCAAAAACATGCATGTTAGGCTGATTGGTAACTCTAAATTGTCCCTAGGTGTGAGTGAGAGAGTGAATGGTTGTTTGTCTCGTTTGTCTCTATGTGTCCCTGTGATGGACTTGCGACCCGACCAGGGTGTACCCCGCCCCTCGCACAGTGATTGCTGGACATGGGCACCAGCGACCCCCGTGACCCAAAATGGAATAAGCGGGCAAAGATAATGGATGGATGGATGGATGGATGGAGATACACAATGGCAGGTCAAGAATCACATGTTAAGATAGAAATAGTATCAAATGAAAACTATTCAGTTTTAATGATTCATTTAAGGAAATGAGGTCAGTTGGTCTTCTAGTAGTCTAAACCTATAGCAGCCTAACAAGCCAACCCTAACTATAGGACTTATCAAAAAGGAAAGTCTTAATCCCAGTCTTCAAACTGGACAATGTGTCAGCCTCATGGACAGAAACTGGAAGTTGGTTCCACAAGACAGGAGCCTGAGAACTGAAAGATCTTCCTCTCATTCTGCTTTTGGAGACTCTAGGAACCACAAGTAAACCTGCAGTCTGAGAGCAAATTGCTCTGTTAGGAAAATATGGAACAATAAGATCTCTAATGTAAATACTATAAATACAAATACATAAATATAAACGAGGTCCTCCTTGAATCATCACCTTATCGTGGTGGAGGAGTGTGTGTGCCTGAATGATCCTAGGAGCTATGCTACCAGGGACAATTAATTGCCCCTGGTAGGGTCTCCCAAGGCAGATTGGTCCTAGGTGACAGGCCAGACAAAGAGCAATTCAGAAGACACTTATGAACAGAAACAAACAAGAAACTCAGTGTCCCTTGCCTGGACGTGGGTTACCAGGGCCCCACCCTGGAGCCAGGCCTGGGGGAGGAGCTCTTCAGTGAGAGCCTGGTGGCCGGGTCTCTACCCATGGGGCCCGATTGGGCTCAGCCCAAAGGAGCAGCATGGGTTTGCCTTCCTGTGGGCCCACCACCTGCAGGAGGGGCCATATGAGTCAGGTGCATGAATCCATGGGAAGTGGCTGAAGGCGGGGACCTTGGCTCTCTGACCCTGGCTTATCAAACTGGTTCTTGGGACATGGAACGTGACCTCTCTGGTGGGGAAGGAACCTGAGCTTGTGTGTGAGGTTGAGAGGTACCGACTAGATATAGTTGGGCTCACCTCAACGCTCAGCATGGGCTCTGGAACTGATCTCTTTGAGAGGAGCTGGACCTTATTCCACTCTGGAGTTGCCCATGGTGAGAAGCACCGAGCTGGTGTGGGTCTACCTGTAGCCCCCCGACTTGGTGCCTGTGTGTTGGAGTCTTCCCTGGTAGATGAGAGGGTAGCTTCCCTGCGCCCTTGGGTGGAGGGGAGGGCTCTGACTGTTGTTTGTACAGTACCTATGTGCCAAACGGCAGTTCAGAGTATCCCGCCTTCTTGGAGTCCTTGGCGGTGGTGCTGGAAAGTGCACCAGCTGGGGACTCCTTTATTCTGCTGGGGATTTCTATAGAGCTTTAGAGCATGACGTCACTTGTCCGCGGCATGGTGGCTTATGGGATAGGATGGGGCCACCATGTTTACTGTCCTCAATATTAACTGTCGAAAACAAGATTTTTCGCTGACTCTTTTTTTTTTTTTTATCTAAGTAAGTTAAAACAGTTTAGCGATGGTCCGAAATTGCTGCGTTATTGGATGTAATGTCCGGTCACACGACTGGAATTGTAAAAAGATCGAAAACTGACTTTTTTAATAGATTCTCCACCAGGAAACAACGCGAGGAGCTCATGTGTAGGACGTAACAAAAAGGAGACGGTGAGACGTCCTGATAACTTTCTCCAGCGTCCCAAGAGACCTGCTAGTTTGTTCCAGACATTCTGGTGAGTGTCTAAATTCAGTTTGTTGGTGTTGAGCCATAAATTTGTGCCATGATTTTGTCGGGGTGTGTCATGTTTAGTTCATGTCTAGTTCATGTTCATAGAAGTGGGTCAACCTGGTTTAAGTCAGGTTTATATTTTGCATATAACTTAGTCTGAGTTTAGACAGAGTGGACATCTGTGTTATTGTGAAATAAACTGTTTAAAGTTTCTAGTGTTGTCACTTTTACTGTAGTAACACTGATGTGTGTTCTGATATGTCCTGTTCAAGACAAACCTTCAGATGAAGTGGATGAAACTCCAGGAGAGGAGCTCAGTGAGGCTGCAGATGATGGAGAGGAGGAACATGAAGCAGCAGCAAAAAGGTACAAATACAATGTGTGAACAAAAGAAGAGCAGAAATAAACCACCTGTTACAGGAGAACAGGTCAGAGCTGAATAAAAAACAGCTGGACAAATAATTTTTATATTAATAAATATTATACAGGACTTCATTGCTTTGTCATCTTGTTGTCATTGTTTAACACTGTTGGGCATTTTCTGCCAGCATTAAAAACCCTCACAATTTCAAATGGTTCTACTAACACTAGTACATCCTGTTCAGAATCTTTGCCATCTTTTTAAGGTGTCACATAAAACTCTGTCTAATACCTGTGCCTTTCTTTTCTTTCCAAGGGATGGACGTCCATCAGACAAGCTCATAACAGAAGCTGTGGCCTTCTCTCCAGATTATTACCTGGGGACGTTGTTATGACAGAGACTTTGATATTAAAGACAGTGTGGGAGTCAAGGTCAAGGTTCTTATTGGCATTCACATGGCATGTTGAACATGAGGTGGAACAAAACTGTGCACACAGGGTCCCAGTTACATCCAACAAAAGTATAAATGAATGATGTGCTGAGGTTCAAATCCCATCAGTCACTAAATGGAGATGTGAACTTGATGCTAAGGATGTTGAACACACATGAGCACACCTTAGAAATCATGTGGAAGAGTGACTGGTTGCATGAGAAACACAATGTTACACAGAAATATACCAGTTAACTATAATGGTTCTTACAT